AGGGGGGGTTCCCAGTGTTTAAAGCTGATGATAAATGAAGATTCTCTTAAAACAACAGATGTTAGAAGAGTTGCCCGCGTGTGGCTTCTTTAAAGTTTCTGTCAAGTAACTCCCCACCAAACATTCAAATCTCTTGGTGGAATGTGGGGTTTTTTTAAATCCTAAAAAAAAAACCATAAATCTTGGCAATCTAGGACAAGACATTGAAACAACAGTAAAAATATCTGAAATCCTTTTAGATTGTTTTTTTAAGAGAATTTTAGAGGGAGAAAAAAAGTTTCAACATATATCGAGTATGAATGATTCAACCTGTTATTATGGTAGCCGTTGGGATACAACTTGGGTGTATATTAACGTTAAAGGTTCGTGAAGTGTAATAATTAAAGAAAATTGTCTAAGATAGCCATTCTAGACTCCCACAATTCAGTTTGTAGCCATTTTTCTATTCAATTGATCGAAATAACCTTGATTAACAAGTAGTTCTTTAGCAACTTGCGAAATCTACTTTTTGTGAATCTAATATTCATATTGCTAGTGTTTTCAAAATATTGATGTGACAGCACTTTAACAAGTTGGTAAGTAATATTTTAACAATTAACAACTTTAGCAACTTGTGAAAGTGTTACTTTATGAATATTGAATTGTAGATTCCACAAGTTACAAGTAAAATGGTATTTGTCATTTTTTTTTTGTAATATTTGATTAATATTTGGTTTTTAAAGCCTCTAATCATTAATGGGTATGAAGTAAATTATAAATATTTCAAATTAATTTTGAATCTTGATTTGGTTTGTTAAAAAAATGCTACAAGTTATCATAGATGATTTTTTTCTATCAAACGTGTTTTAAAACTGTGAGTCCAAATATAAATAAAGCGGACAATATCTGATACGGTTGGATTCGGTTGTTGCAATTTTGATTTGGAAAATTTTCTAAAAATTATTTATTTAATATTTTATTAAATATGATTTTGTTATCCATATCATTTTACCTCAATTTTACAGAAGCAACCAAATAGAAAAACAAAAAAGCCAAAAAGATGTTCAAGAAGATGTCAATCTACTTCTGCAAACATACAAAATATGCTGCAAAATTTCAGAGTTTTGATTGACCCCACTCATATCAATCAAAACAAGACAAAAACAAACTAAAAAATTAAAACACAGCAAATGTTCTCTCATTTCTTGATATAGTTTGAAGGTAAGTAAGATCACACACACACACACACACATTCAAACACTAATCAAACTACCACTGTTAACCAAGTGAAAGTGCTTCTTTGGCCTCTCTTTCAACAACCCATTTCTCATTTATCTGCAAAATCACATTATATATATATAATAATATCAAGAAATCTTGTGGAGTAATTAAGAGAAAAAGGGAGTTTCATGGTGAAATTATTACCATTATGTGTCAGGAAGAAGTTATGAGCAGAATTGGGGATGGAAATCGAGAGCCGAGTTGTGGAAGAATCTTTGTTATTATCATTGGGTGGCCATTCATCAAAGAAATGATGCATTACTTTCTGGGGTTCATCTTTTCTTTCAAACTTCAAAGAGAATTGATCATAATAACTCTGATCTTGCTGCTGCTGTTGTTGTTGCTGATATGAGTAACCATTTTGATGATGATGGTATTGATCAGAGAAAGATGTCTGTTTTGAATGGGTCAAATTGTTCATAGCCAGTGGTTCCAATTGCCAAGAATCAGCCATTGAAGAACCAGAAAGAGTCTTGATGGTTCCAGAAGATTCTGAGAAAAATCTGTGCTCATCTATCTCTTCTTTCATCCCAAAGCTTTTTCTGTTTTCAAAAAAAACCAAAGAAATATGAAAAAAGGAAGGTCAGAAGTATGAAAACTAGCCAATCTCATCGACCATATTCATGTTTTAAGCTATTTTCGATATCCTCTTTCAAAATTAGCCAAATTTTATTCAGAAATTTGAATCCTCTTACATGATTTTTTTGATTTTCTACGTAAGGATTCAAATTTGTACGTAAACTTTGGTTAAAAGGATAATTCAACTGAAAAAGTGGGTAAAGAGTTAGAGGAGATTGGGTATTGGCATAATTTGCTTTGTGCAGAAAAGCAGGAACCAACCTGTAATCTTTGTCTGAATGGGAGTATGGGCTAGATTCCAACAAGAAATGATCTTGAATACCACCACTACCAGAAGAAGGCCTAGAAAAAGAAGAAAGGTGGGGGGTATTATAAAAGTGATCAGTAGATGAGAATGGATGGGAATTGGGAGAAGGGTAATTTGGGGATTTGGTACAGATTGATGATGGGATCATTGGAATAGCTGTTGGTGGTGTTTTGGGTGTTGTTGACATGTTGACTTCCACAGGCTTTCTTGAACGGTTTCTGCCTCTGTGCATGTGCCTTTCACAGTATTTGGAATCAGGATAAGCTTCTTTGGAGCATCTCCATTTCTTACCATCTGTTCTTCTGCACCTCCCTGGTTCTGGATCTATTTTCCTCCCAAATCCCATTTGAAAACAGTTCCATCCAACTGCAAATTCAATAAACAACCAAATACCCATTACGATAATTCAATCAAGAAAGCAACACCCTTACAATTTTCTCCAAAAAGTTCTCATCTTTATGCATTTTTATTCCAAAAAGACTTGATTGTAGTTCAAGAACACCATTTTTCGGAAGGGTGTCCATGTACTAATCCTGATAAATTGTGACGGAAAGAAATCAGTTTAATAAAGTCAGTGGCCATAATTGTCATGTGAACCTGGACAGATGAAATGCTATATTCATCCTCAGGACCTCAACCATTACGCCACAACCCTTGTGGATTCAAGAACGCCATCTTTTTGGTGAGAATTAGCATGAAAGTTGAATCTTTATCTATTTTTAGACACAAAATATACAGGAACTAGAGATGGTTGATAGATTACTTGAAGGATGAGGAGGTTGGTGGTGAAGAATGAGCTTTGTGGAAGAATCCAAGCTTCTCTTGATGGTGAAGAGGAGATCAGGTGGGATAGGCATGCCAGAAATCATGTATTTGTAAACAAGAGCTTGGTGTTCTAGCTCTTGCCATTGAGTTGCTGTAAATGGGTACCTACCACCACCACCACCACCACCATTATTCCTTACTGTTCCACCACCTTCCGCCGCCGTACTCATCATCTTGAATCACCCAACAAAATCTTGAAAAAGGGTATAAACAAATCAAGAGAAAACCCTTGAATTTTCTTGCTATCAAAACAGATGGAAATCAAGAAATCTTGAAAAAAGCTTTTGAATTGGTTGGTATTCAAGAGAGGGAGGGAAGATGATGATGATGTGTTTTGCAGAGAGGATCCCTTCTGATCATAAGTCACGTCAGTAAAGAAATTGTAAAGAAGCAAACACCAAGACACTCCATAATCTGTTTTCTTCCTTTTTCTTATAGAGATAGATAGATACAAGATGGTGTATGTATATGTATGTGTGTGTTGTGCACTATATTATGACTGCAAAGACTGTTGCATCTGCTGCTACTATGCTGCCTTTATGGCAGCTATTGTCTCTGACAAAATTTATACGGAAACCCATAATAATGGGCTCAGAAATGCACTTAAAAACAAAGGGTGAGAGTTATTTAATTTTTTTTTTAAATAATAATAATAATAATAATAAGTGTGTGTATGTGTGTGTGTGTGTGTAAGAGTAAGAGAGTTGGTATCTGAATGCACAGGGTGACAGACAAAAGTGGCAGTGGCCATGATCATGAGAGAAGTTTTGTACGGTTTTTTTGCATACTTTTACTTTTACTTTTTTTTTCCATCTTTTCTTTGTAAACACAATTTGACCTTTCTTGTTTTGGGTCAATGAGATCTCTGTTTTGAAAGTAGTCTTTAATCCCCATCTAACCAACCATTCCCATATCCAAATGGTCCAACAAACTGCACCACTTCTAAAAGATTCTACCCATCAAACCTACATTCGTCTTTTTGATCAAAAGGGTGTTGGTGTTGTGCATTTTGTATGCAATCTTTGAGATTATTTTGTTACGTTTCAAGGTGACACAATAAGAGGTCGAGAATGAATCAGTATGTGTAATAAAGATTCTTATACACCTTTTCTTTAGCTTATGAACGTAGTTCATATCATAATCAGTTTTATAGATCAGATCAAGCTACCTCTGTTTGGTTTAAAGTACAGATAAATTTTTATATCAGGGCATATAATCCTGGTTCGAGCTTGATCATGATGGTTAAAAGGGACCAATCGGGATGTTTTGTTGAAAAATGAGCTTTTGAATTCCAGATAGACCAAACAAGCAATGAAGTTTCGATGGATGATACAAATAGCATAAAAAACAGTATTTGTGTCATTTGCGAAACATATCAACTCTCGTGTTAGATAGACAGTTATTTTAGTTTTCATGTCTTATTTATGTTAGCCTGGTTCTTTTTTTTTTTTTTTTAATTTTTATTCTATGTCAAATGTTTCTTCTCGTTTTAATAGTTGTCAGTACTATGCTTTGCGATTTCCAATTTGTTTTTATCTTATGTTACTGCTTTCTTTTCTGTTCATAGCAATCGCCGTTTGTCTGCATACGCTCATATGTTACATCTGTCTGAGATATGTTGAGTCATTTTGATTTAGAATGCAAGTGCCAAAACATATGTAAAATACCATTCACAAAGTTTCAAAGAGGATGAAGTTAAACAACGTTTAATGCACCAAAATTTGGGTATTTTAATTTTGTTACGTTTCTAATACATGAAAATGTGTTGGTTTCAAAATTTATGTTTGATTATTCCCATCATCATGTGGTTGCAGGATGATTCACAAGAAAGGTGGCAAGATTCGAACCTACACTCTGACCACGCCCCACCTCCTTGAACTCATTAGTCCCTGCAACAAGGTAGGACGGGTGACGAAGGGCATAAATGAGTTCATGCCACCACGATCCGTATGGAAGGACGGTTTCTCAGCTTTCTTTTTATTTATACAAAATGTACGTCAATTATATATTATAGTATTTAAAGGACAGACTATGTCCCCTCCAATGAAGTAGAATAAATTCCAACAGTAAATATGTATCGATTGATAGATGCTATGTTCTTTGTCTTTTGAATTAATACTATACTTGTTCTTTTTGAATTATTTTTTAAAAAATGCAACATGTCCCCAGTGAATTTTCAATTTTAAATGCATTATTTTGTTTATTAACAGTTTTATTTTTGGTTTTCGGGTGTTTTTTTATTGCTTATTTTAGACAAATTCTTAAATATCTGATTAATAACCAATTATTTTTATTAAACTATTATTCAATTTTTTTGAGTCAGATATATTTACTTGATTGATAAAAATGGTTGTAATTATTTTTAAAGAAAATAGGGAATTTATGTATCATAAATAAAATCTGTACAATGTAGAGGGATGTAAAATTATATTATAAATCATAAATAAAAAAATAATGCAATTCTTTGTTAAAAAAGCGAATATGAAATGAACACAAATAACTAAATACGTTAAAAAATATGTGAAATATCTGGAAAAAAAACATCTACTGTGTAAAAAATTATTATAATTACACGGACAAATCTTTGAAACCACTTCCAATTATACTTTCAGTCTCCAAAAATTTAATTCACATTTTTATACTATATAACGAGTAAACAAAAACAGAAAAAGTTCAAACGCTAAAAATGAATATGGTTTTTTTTTAAGTATATAATATTTATATACGGCAAATAGAACAAATAAACGTAGACACTCTCCTCACTTTGATTTGGACCTTTTGAAACCAAAACTTTTAACTCTTTTTTATAGACTTGTACTATTAAATAATCATTTTTTTTATAAATAGCAATTATTACTATTACTATTATTATTATTATTATTATTATTATTATTATTATTATTATTATTATTATTTAGTGGGTCTCTGATTCAGACAAAGAAATGAAACTTATACGATATGAATTGAAAATGAAAATTAATAGTTAAAAAGCTCAATTATTTCTTTTGTTTTTCTTTGTTCATTGTTTCTTTTTTGTCCCAATAAAACGTTGCCTTCCAAACAGAAATTCCAATGACATCTAAAAATTGTAAAAATAACATATAAACATCAAAAAATCCATTTTTTATAAGACTTGTACCATCAAATAATCATTATTTCTTGCATAAATAGCAATTACTGCTACTACTATTATAATTATTATTTAGCGGGTGTCTGGTTCAGTTAAATAAATGAAAATGAATTTTCATTCCCTCCATTTTTATCTATAATGAAAATTTGGGTTTTGAAATCAAACAATTTCTTTCATTTTTTTTATCATTAATTAATGTTTAACATCTTTATTTAAACACCTCATATTATTATTATTATTATTATTATTATTATTATTATTATTATTATTATTATTATTATTATTATTATTATTATTTATTGTTATTATTATTATAAATAAATTGAAAAGAAAAGGCTACATTCAAATCCAATCCTAAAGGGTAAGGAGATGTTTCTATCACCAACCCCCAACACACACACACACTCACTCTTGATTTATTTCTTTGTGTACCAAAAACAACCCATAATTCCATTCCCTACTCCTTACTCATTGCTTTTGCAATTCAACAAACCCTTTTTTTTTCTTTTCTTTTTTCCTTTTTTTTATTTAAACATTTTATGGGTTTATTAAATTATAAATTAATAAAATAAGTATAAGAATTCAAATAATTAATCAAACCCACACCCACCCAAATTGCACACGACGTTTCTCATGTACCACTCACAACACATCCCACATGTGCACTTTTTTCCCGACAACAAATCACTTTGAAACTACGTCGTTCTAAATGAAAACAAAGAGAGAAAAAAAATCAAAGAAATTAGATCGTCTCTAAAAAACCAAAAAAGACATACAAACCCAACCAAAGATCCGTTAACTAAGACCAAGAAATCTTACCCGGTAAGTAAAGACAGTGACTCTTACACCATTAGTCCTTGTCAGGTAAGAGACGTTTACCAACAATACTAATATATAATTCTGATGGCTGACGATCATATCCGGTAAAGTTGGTGAGGATAACGACTCTTATTCAGTAAGCGCTAGTAAACCATCGCTAAATCAATGTGTTGACTAATCATTCTTACAAACCAGTGGTTTTCTACATGCGAAACGTCGTGTAAAAATATAGTGTTTATACTTTATACAATATTGTTTTATATATAAAACGTTAAGAACTGTTTTGTGTGTGAAGAAGAACAGTCTAAAACGTTTCACACACGAAACAACACTGTATTTTTACGTACAAGAAAACTGGTTTTTAAGTTTGTACGAAATATCGAATTTTGAAAAGATGGGGAGTCGAATTATATATCGAACTTTCCATGGTTTTCTGGAGCACCGGGAAAAAGAATATGGCGAAGTAACTAACGACGTTATAAACAGAAGATTTCATTTTCAGATAAAATTGCTTAACCCTATGTCTCTATGATAAAGGTACAGAGACAAAATCACTTAACAAATCAGATTTCTGAATCATTAAGTGATAACCAAAGCATGAATACAAAAATGAGATCAGATATCTGCATTCATTCGATAAATTCCCTCTTTTTAAAGCTTCCAAAAAAAAGTACAGGAATTATTATTTCCTTCAGCAAACATCCAAAAATTAATTAAAAATAAATAAAAAAGAAATTAATATTGATGACTCTTTTCTGACAACTACCCTACTCATTTTGGTGTTGTCTCATTAAAGTTGCAATTTTTTCTTACCCAATCTTGATTCCTTTTTCATCCACATTTACCCTTCTAACAACTTATTCAATCAACATTTTTACCCTTTTTCTCAAATTAACTATGTATTCCATCAAAATTTAAGGTTCGTTTACCTAACACTTATTCAGGTAATTGCTTACCAAGTCACATTACCTTACCAGATGAATATGACAAGAACCAAGAAACTTACCCGGTAAGAACAAGGCAAGGATCAAAAATCTTACCCGGTAACTGAGGATGACGACTCTTACCACAGTCAACACTTACCGGTAAATTGTTGCATACAATGCTGTTTTGGTGGACTAAAATCTTACCAGGCAAGGAAGCAATAGTGTTGAATTTGACCGATAAGCACTTACCGGGTAAGTGTTTGGTAAACGACCCCTTACCCTGTTATCGAATTAACTATATATTTAATCAAGATTTACCCTGTTCTCGAATTTGAGAAGAAAATAAAGGATAATTTTTCATGTTGTTGAACAGGAAAGAAAGGAAAGAAAATGTATCTTTTTACAAATATACCCCTTTAAAAATATGTTATTTATTATAAAAAGTTGGGTAGTTTGGGGCTTTTTTAATAATTTTCTTGAAAGGTTTTAATTTCTTCTATTTCTTTTCCTTCCCTTTCCTCCCACTACGGGAAGAAAAGTTATGGGATTAAACTTGTGATTTCTTTCCTTCAGTTTCCTTTCCTTTATTGCCTAAAAAGTTTCGAGAACACGAGTTTTTTTTATTTTATTTTATAATTTCCTCGCGCGATTCATGGGTGAGTTTGAAATTAAAGGTGATCAAGGTTCAGATCCCTTATTACGCTTCTCACATTAACTCTCTTCCTCACACGATACTTCGTCATCTAACATATACATATCATTACTCAATAAAATCTAAAAACAACCCAGTTGCATTTCACGCGATCAAAGTTGTGGATTGCCTTGGATTTGTGTTAGATGAGCGAGCTAGTCGCGGGAATCGTGTAAAAAACGTAAATAATTTACCTTAAAAGAGGCTATTAATAGTTTAACCAGACTCGTAAGTATAGTTTCAGCTAAAACAACATTGCTATCTTGGATTCATCAAATGAACAAGATCCAGAATTGGTAAAGAGATAGGCAACTTATATTATAATACAAGAAAACTTCATATCTAGCAAGAATAAACGAATCCCAAGACGATTTTGGGAAGAATGGTAACACACATCACAAGTGGGAATTTATCATGTTATTACTCATTATTTTATGTATGAAAAGAGGTTGAACATTACAAGCATTACAAAAGCCTTGGGATGTAAACCACAAGAGTGGTGTCTGATCGGTTTGAGTTTGGCTCCAAAGGTCAAAAGTACCAGGAGGTCCCAGGTTCAAATCCAAGAAGGAATTAAAATCCCCTTGTGGCAACGGAAGTTCAAATGCGGTGACTCCGGGCTATCCAGGTTAATAAAAAAAAAAAGCCTTGGGATGTAGCATATATTTCATACATAAAATAATTAGTAATGTCATTAAGAATTCCTGTATGTGATGTCTTAGCATTTTGCCCAAAATCATCTCGGATTCTTTTGTTCTTGCTAGATATGAAGCTTTCTTGTATTATAACGCGAGTTGCTCATCTCTTTACTGATTCTGGATGTTGTTACTCTGATTAATCAAAGATAACAGTGTTGTTTTAGGCAAAACTATACTTCGGAATCTGGTTAAACTGTTATCAGTCTCCATTCTGTGTTGATCCTTAATGAGGAATGTTTGGGTAAGGACAGAAAGCAGTTTCTTGAACCATCAAAATCTAGCATAGAAAGTAAGAGGTAACATTGTAAATATGTACCTGAAAGTGAAACCATAGAGATTCTATCTTCCACCAGCTATTGATATGGCTCAAGTAAATATGATGCAGCCTGCAATAAAGTACTAAAAAGCCATTTACCAAATGCTAATCGGGTTACTTACATTATCAGATGAGTATGGCAGGAACCGAGAATCTTACGCGGTAAGTGAGGGTGGTGACTCTTACACCGTTAGCGCTTACTACTGTTTACCAAACACTTACCCGGTAAGCTTTTACCGGTAAAATTTAACACTACTAGTTACTTACCGGGTAAGACTTTAGTCTACCAAAACGGAATCGTATGCAACAATTTACCCGGTAAGCACTTACCATGGTAAAGAGTCGTCGCCCTCACTTACCGGGTAAGACTCTCGGTCCTTGTCTCCCTCTTACCGGGTAAGATTCTTGGTCCTTACCATATTTATCAAGTTAGGTAATGTGATTTGGTAAGCGCATACCCGGGTAAACGTTTGGTAAACAACCCCTTACTATGCCATTTTGAACGCCAAGAATCTTACCCAGTAAAATGAGATTGGTGACTCTTATCCGATCAGCATGGGCAAATAGCCCCCATATCATAGTGATTAAAGGTAACTCCTGTACATATATATATATAGGCTCATTTTTTATGGGAAAACCGCAAAAAAATGCAAAACTGAGAAGCACCATGATAATCATTCATTTGGACGGTATGCACATGTGTATACAAGTAATTTGTAATTAATTTGTCCGGTATGCACACGTGCATAAAAACCAAAAAACAGTTTCAATTACTTGTATGCACATGTGCAAATCGTCCACATGAATGGTTATCAATATGTTTCTCAGTTTTTCATTTTTTGAGGGTTTTCTCCTAAACCCCCCCCCCCCCCCCCTTCTCTCACTATCTATCTATCTATCTATCTATCTATCTATCTATATATATATATATAAAAGAATAAGGTTCAAGGAAAAACCCCAAAAAACGAAAAACTTAAGAACACCCTAATAACTATTCATTTGTACTATATGCATATGCGAATACAAATAATTCAAGATGTTCCCCGGTTTCTATGCACATATGATTGACTATATGTTACGCACATGTGCATACTGGAAAATTTACTTACAAATTACTTGTATGCATATGTGCATACTGTAAAGATGAATGGTTACTAGAGTGTTCCTCGATTTTTCATTTTTTTGCGGTTCCAGTGAGAAGGAGAGTTAAAGTAAGAAGCATAAGAAGAGATCTCCACCCTTGGACGCACATTAGAATGAGATGCACCGGATCATTCCCCGTATCAAGCGCAATTCATTGGTGGATTTGATATTAAAGGTGATCAAGGGTCCAGATCCCTTCTTACGCTTCTGATCTTTAACTCTCCTTCTCACACGATCCTTCACCTATATAGATATATACACACACACATATATATATATATATATATATACATTATATACACATATATAGTAAATTTCCGGTAAGAATAGTTATAGTGAGAAAGGTAAGAAGGGATCTCCACTACTAGATCGATCCTAATGGAAGATCAACTGAAAATACCCTTCTAAGCTAATTCATGAGTTATTTTGGGGCTTGATCTGAAGTATTAGATCAACACTCATTAAAGTGATCAAGGGGGCAAATCCTCTCTTACATTTCTCAGCTTAACTCCTATTCTCACACCATCTTTAGTGTATTCCATATATATGTATATCACATAGTTACGTATACAGAAAAATTGTTTATAACAAGTCCAAGTATCAGCACCTCTTAGAGAACAAAAAGCACCTAAATCAAACAGTATATATTTAACACAGAATCAGGTGGAACCAATTGCATGTATTCATTCCTAAAAAGATTACAAACATCAGTTTCAAAACAAAAAGATTTACAACCTCAAGAGCCAGCAGTTGGCAATGCAGCCATGAAAGAATTGTAGGATGACTCCAGATCAAAATGCAGCTGCCTAGACTGCTGTTCAGTCAGCTCATCTGCCGCCCCCATCTTGGCGAGCCTTCCAATCCACTCCCTCATTTTCGTCTTCCCTTCAAAGTCTGGTGGTAAAATCGACAGCTTGTTCAACGAACCAGATAAATCAGAGAGTAAAGGGAAAACCTGATCAACCGCAACCATATTCAGCTTCAATGAATCCATAGCTGTGATGAAATTCTGCACACATTCAGCCACGGTTGCAGCAGAGGTTACCCCAGAGGCAGCTGCAGCTGCCCTGTGCTCCACCGTAGCTGGCACGCCTGAGGTTATAAGGCGGTTCATGGCGGCAGGGCAGTCCATCTTGTAAGTGTCGTGAAACCTCTCGATACTGGGCACAGTATCTTTAAGGGTTGACGATAATGTTTTAAAGTGGGCGATTAGTTTCTGACACTCGGCCTCATAATCAGCCGACGGGATGATGTCTCTAACATAAGCCTTTTCGAGCTTTTCAGTGGCCTTGATGATCGCATAAAGCTCAGCAAAATTGTCATACATCTCCCTCTCACGCTTGTCATTCCATAGCTTGACTTCCATCTAGAGTACCTCTTATCTGACTTTAGTCTAGATTACAAAATCAAAACAAAGATGAAGTGAATACAAGACAGCATTTGAACAACTATCTGAACGCAATTATTCCAAACAGAAATTTCCCCTATTAACCATAAAACACATGGAATGACAACAAATTTGCATAGAAATATAAAAAAGAATTACATTATTTTGGCTAAGTTGCAGATAGGCCTATACACTTTAAATTTGGTGACTTGGCCTATGAAACCAACCAAAAAACGGCCTACGAACCGACAAGTAATATGGCCTATGAACCTAAGAAGAAAATTGGATAAGAAGGGGGATTCCGTTGGGAAGCCACTTACTCTTATGAGCCATAGAGCAGGTAGAAGAGACTTCAAGAAGATGGATGTAGGAGTCTATGATGGTAAGAAGGGGGGATTCCGTAGGGAAGCAAGTAAAGAAGTGCCATATGTGTACTCTTTGACCTACCCAAGTGATGGTTATCCATCATGAGCTATACCACCAGATATCCAGAGATAGTCCGGTAATTCTTTGCTTGCTTTCATAATCCCTACAGAATCCCCCATTCGTACCATCATAGTACTCCGGCCATCCATCTTCTGCAATCTCTTCTCCACCAGCTTTATGGTTCTCATAACAAGAAGGGTAAAACGAAAAGATGATTGAGAAAGGTGGCAAGTCAGCAGGGAGATGATGAAAGGGAGAGCCGGCGACTTGGGAAGGAACTTTTCACAATGAAAGATAGGGTTGATGTTGCGAATGATCAAGATGAGTTAATAAAACCCAACAACCCAGTTTGAGTATTTAAGTTTCATTCCAATATTCTGATTACCAAACCATTACCCAATTAAGAACGATTCTGTTCCTCCACAACCCCTGAGATTTTGACCTAAGCCTCTGCCTGTTTTCAAAGCAAACTGACCAAAAAAAAAAATCAAAAAATTATGGAAGGTTGAATTCACATGCAAAACATGTGCATTCATCAAGAACAAAATGAAGATCTTATAAAATTAAAAATTAGCTAAGGCCATTGTGATAGATTTAGTTGCTGCAAATTAAGTTTATAAGTATTATTCGTTTTTAAAGTTTAAATAGGCCCAACAATTTCTTGCCGAAGCTCGCAGGCACAACCAATTTATGTTCAACTCTATATCTAAGGAATAACACTAGCAAGGGGAAAGAGGTGTGGGAAAACCCAAAATAGCGAAGATAGAAAAATAAGGGGAGTAGTCGAAAAATACTTCACCGTTTCCCCTTTAGTGAATTCTATTTAATTCGTGTTTTTATTCTCTTTTAGTCATTTGTCCTAGCTAAGGGAGAGAATCAAACTCTTTGGCGTAGGGAACAGGTGTGCATACACCCCACCCATACACCTACCACCAGACCCTGCTTCCGAGTGGTATATATTGGGTTTGTTTGATTTGGTTTCTTCTGGAGGCACTATGGAAAAATAACAGAATATGTGATCACTTTCATCTTGCACTGTTCTCTTCTTCATCTTTGAATTCTCTAAACTTCTAATTTTATTATTGATTCCTGGCTACTTGTTGGATCAATCTGTTGCAAGTTGAGAACTACTGATTACCAACATTTGATAGCCTGAAATGGTGAAGCAAAGTAAAAAAAAAATCGGCCTTAAGGTGTTGAACGAAGTAACAAAGTTGACCTTAAGGTGTTGGACAAAGTCACAGGAAAGTTGAGACGAAACACCAAGCCCATGAAGATTCAAATCACATATAAATCACAGATACATGCCAAGGATGCATCACATAGTTTGCATCAAATCACAGATAAATGCCAGAGATGCTAAGATGCAAGCTAAGCTGGTTAACATCAAAAAGAGGTTAAAAATGAGAATGGATGAGCTTTCAGAAGCCTAGATGGTAAAAGAAAATGGTTTAGGAGAGCCTTCCACTTTCAACAGTGACTGCTTATATAGAGAAATTTGAAATTGTTAATGAAATTATCAATAGTATCCACATTGAGATCAATCAAACTGGCCAGAAGAAAGGAGCTCAACCTTAATAACTATGATAAAGAAAACTTACGACAGCCATCAAAAGAGGTGAAGAATTAACTCCATCTCATATTAATTTTAGAACCCAAATCAGCACCATGAAACCAGCTACTCTAGAGGTAAGGGTTCACCTCTACTCCTTATGCCCCAAACCGAACCACTAAAGAGGCACCTCCAAAGTAGAGATGCACAAGGCTTAGGCTTTTTAAGGTCTGAGCTCGGGAATTCCAACCATGTTTTCAGTAAGCAAGATAAATGGCCTGGGCCTTGGGGTTGAAAAGGGCTCGATCGGCCTTTTTGGGACTTAACCAGGCTTTTCCAGACCGAGCTTTTCGGACCAGCCCTGCCCTCAAAATTTCGGCCTGATCAAGCTCTGAGGCCTGGGCTTTTCGGGCAGGGCTCGGGATAGATCTAAACCGGGCCTCAGCCTTGGGATTTTTTTGTGCATCTCTACTCCAAAGTTAAATCTATGTTTGCAACATATCTCACATAGTTCATGTTAGCTTCTTTCAGATGATATATAGATTCACAGTAGCAGTGAGAACGCTTGGGGCATTTTACTAAGTTTGCTCCACACCAACTCCTACAAATTATACAAAAAAAAGGAATTCTTTGACAAAGACAACTCGAATATAGAAGTCACATGATTTCAACAAAAGAAGCTACTGGTCCTAGCAAGGTTAACAAGAAGTTTTCTTGACCCAGGTCATCTAAGTATAGAAGGCCTTACAGGATTCTTTAGATTGACCGGATATCATTGCAAAGTTAGTAAACCCCACACTGAAAGGGTTAAATGGAAAACCTCGAGTAAACGTAGCCAAGTAGAAAGCAAAGGTAACCTTTACACAACTAAAAAATCCATGTCTGCTCAATCCCAAAAACAACCTGTGATAGAGAATAATACTTGTAAGCAAGGGATGAGGCAATAAAAAAAGAACATGTGGCTCACTTTAGATGGCTTCGAGAGTCAAAAACAAAGTTGTCTACGTACAAAAAAGAGATGAGTCTTGTGGTCTATAGTGTGAATGAATGGAGATACTACATCAATTATATGCTACTTTTTGGTAAAAACCGACCAATCACTCAAAACATATATTAAGCCAACACGTGATCATAGGTTTAAAACATTAATGGTTCTTGAAACTTTTGGGATTAGACCTTCAAGTTCATTACGTAAAGATTGTTTCTCATTGATGAGCTATCTTGAATGTGTGATGGAATTACAAGTCTTTTTTGTTGTGTTCCCAATTAGATGTTGGAAAAACAACAAAGTCGGGTTGGTGATGCACTTCAGCAGTCCATATTACTGAGAATGGTCGTAGACTCGTAGTGAACCAAGGACCACATGAGACATATAAAGTGGTGAATACTCGCAACAAAAGAAAAATTGGATCAGATTTAGGGTAGAAGGTTTTCTATAAGCTACATAAAATGAGGTATTGCACAACATTAGGAGCTCCATAAACAGCTAACAATGTGGAGACATTATTGTATTGTCCTACCATGTAAAAGGACATGTCTTAGGTTGTTGAATGTAAGACTTGTCAATGCAACAAAAATAAGAGTGCTACAACTCAAGAAATGCTACGACCTTTAGGCATCCCCACAAACATTTACATAGATGTGTCGATAGACTTGGTAGAAGGATTTCTCTCTTGGAACAAAAACACTATCATGGTTATTCCATTGAGGACACACGTTTAGCCGTGGTGTTGCAAGATTATACTTTGAATCAAGGTTGGGTTCAAATTTTAGGAGGCAACATTACACGTCACGTTTTACAACTAATTAGGCATGTGGCATGTGGCATGTGGCATATGGGTTGGGTTCCAGTGAGAAGGAGAGTTAAGGTGAGAAACATAAGAAGGGATCTCCACCCTTGGATGCACATTAGAATGAGATGCACCGAGATGCACTGATCAATCCCGTATCAAGCATGATTCATGGGTGGGTTTCAGATTAAAGGTGATTAAGGGTCCAGATCCCTTCTTATGCTTCTCACCTTAACTCTCCTTCTCACACGATCCTTCGCCTGTGGCATATAAATTTGAATCTACCATCTAATTCCATGGTTCACCGAATGTTTCATGTGTTGTTATTGAAGAAGAAACTGCATAAAAAGACCATACTAGCTGCAATGCTTCCACAATTGGGGAGGTTTGAGAATCAATTGAAACAAGTTGCAATCCTTGATAGGCCAATGGTACAAAAGAATAAGAGACCCGTGGTCAAGGTCTTGGTTTAGTAGTCCAACGGCTCCCTAAATCTGATCAGCATGGTGGGATTGCAGTTCAAGTATACCGCATTCCTAAATCTCTTATCCTTTTGGGAAAGGATCCTCTCATGAAGGAGGAAATGTTGGAGAAGAAGGGCCAGAGATGTTGAGAAACCCAAAAACAGTAAATAATACAAATTAAGGGGAAAGTAGCGGAGTATTATGCCACTGTTTAACCCTTCACTCAAAAATTTATTTAATTAATTATTTTATTCTCTTTTAAAGTCAGTTGAAGAGAGAGGAGGTAAGTTGGTCTCAACGCACATGCCCTAGCTAGTAGAACAGAATTAATTTGGTTGCTACGTCGTGGTGACATTACAGAAAAAATGAATTGAGTGTCTCATTGTCTTGATTTTTAATCTTGCTATGTTCTCTTATTCATCTCCAAATTCGATATATTCTATCTTCACTACGATGCCTACCTACTACAATTCGGGAACAGCTGAATTGCAACATATACATTCTAGACAACATGTAATTCATGATTAAACCCTGAAATATTATTATTCGAGCATCTAATTTCAGTTAATCAATTTAAAAAGAAATAAAACATAAACAAGAATGCAACAAAATTAGCAATTGATTATGTACCCAACACGGGTTTGATCCATCAATGCCCCAAGAAATGTACCATTTGGTTATGGGTCAACAGTCAGAAGAGAAATTACAATTTCATAGGTGGGACGTAGGATTAACTTCCCATCATCCCATGGACTTGGTTTGACTAAACACCAGTATATCCCCAAAATTGAAAAAAAGAAAGAATTATCTTAATTTTTTTAACCAATATTTTTCTGTTTTTGAACTTGTCAAACCCTAACAAGGGATAAATTAGGAAAAGTGAGAAGCATGGCAAGAATTAACAGAAAATGCAAGAAGCTGAGAATTATCAAATCGATGGCCTGATCATCAATTATAAACAAGCACAGTATTCGGGTTGTAACTTTTAGACTTGGGTCTACGTAAATTTCATTTCAAGCTCCTTGTCATCGAACTTAAAAAACCCTCAGGGCCGGTCCTGGGGTTTCTGATATCCAAAGCGGAAAGGCTAAAAATGCCCACAAAAAATCCATGATGTTTATTCGGCGTTTGAAACAAAAGGAGGACTATGAAGTACCACAAAAGTTCAACAAGAAAACCAAATGATAAGCACGCACTGTACATCTTGATACGCCCAACCAACTAACCAAGTAAATACTTCACACAGATTTAACCACAAACTTCACTTCAATTTTCTCCCAAAAAAGAGAAGGCATCAAATTGAGGGATGTGAAACAGAACAATCAATTTAATATGGATGAGCCACTAATAGAACATTATGACAAACACTGTGAAACTAACATTCAAAATATACTGGAATATAGCCTTTAATATGCTTAGGACTTTTCAAAGTCGAGTGACATCCATATGACATAAAAGAAATGTGATTCATCATGTTTATTCCCAAATTAGTCCAACCAATTGAAAAGATTATCTAGTATGCTTAGGACACTTCAACTTCAAGTGCCATCCATGAACATTATCATGTTTATTACCAAATACGATCCAATCAATATGACAATTATGGTGAATTGGTGATCTTCCAGACTGTAAGAACATACTTATTGAACAAATTATATAATTGCATTGACTGGTTTATATTAGCAAACACCTTACGTTAAAGGATCCACTTAATCCACTGTGCCACTAGAGACAATCACATAAAATCTAGCCTATGGTTCTAACAAGTTTTCATTTTGATACGGACCGAAAATTCTCTAGCACTTGTGCACTTTATGCCCATCATAAAAACTCTCATCAGTTGATGTACATAATACAAGCAAGTAAAAATCTTCAAAGACTCATGGCCAAATAGCAATCAACAATCAAAATCAACTTCATCAAATAAACCTAATCAAAATCATAACTTCATCAACAAATACAATCAAAAATCAACTCAATGAAACTAGATTTTTCGTCAAATGATCATGATTTTGAACGCAAGCACTTCTCAAACACCGACACAGGCTTTTCGTCAAGGTTTAAAGTACAAACAAATAAAGATTAAATCGGATTTTGTGTTCAATTATATAAACGAAGTATAAACCTAGAGACAACTGCAATCCGAATACACACAGAGACGACAAACAGTACCTGAAGAGATGGCTGCTGCTCTACGATAGATGGCGAAGAAACGAAGGAAATCGAACGAATTTGAAGGCGTCGATCGGATTCGCAGCGTCGTTGACAGGGTCTGAGATTATAAAAGCGTGCAAGAAAACCCAGGATAATTGTTTCATTTTTATATTAAACATTGAGTTACAAAAATAACCCTCAACTATACAAAAAGTTATATTTAAGTCCTTTTGTTTTTAAACCCTTTTCTAAGTACGTTGTCTTTCATTACCAACCTCTAGTTTTAAAGCGAAGTTATCTGCTCTGAACATTTGTTTAACTTTCTGTGAACAAATAAACGGACATATAAACAAGCAAATTTTTTGTTTGTACTCGTTCGTCAAGAAAATCACCTTTAATCATTAACTGGTACACACAATCACTGTATATCCTGATGAGTTTTACAGTATTTTTTAGAGTATGTACTTGGCTGATGCACATGAGGTGAACATGAAATCATTTCATGAGCATCATGGACTTGGTTGATGCAAACAAGGTTACGAAATCTTTTATAATCACTGTGTAACCTTGGTATATATCATCAAATGATTTCGAGGCATATGCATTCCAAAAGGGGAAACGTGTTGGAAACTAGACGGGATACACATGATGTGGACACTCGAATCTTGATCTGATCCATTGGAAATATGAGGTTTACGCTGCCAGGGTCATCCACCATATAACCCACGTTTGATTGAGATTTGACAAGTTGTCAAGCAATTACAGATAGTGTTACAAGTTTCGTTTCACAATATATCCTATACAAGCTTGTTACATAATATGGTCATGTCATTTATGAAGCTTTAAATTTTAAGCAGCAAAATCTAACACGGTTTTTATAACATTTATAACATTCCATCGTGCCGGAATCATTTTTCGTTATTACCATTAAAAGTGATATATACAATATAAATGCAATAAATAGGGAACATGACAAGAATATATGGAAAACATATATGAAATAAACTGTAATTTTTTATGTTTCTATTAGTGAAATCTTTGTTATCTTGTGTTCATGACCACTCAAGACACAAACGTGTTACTAAATGTTATTTCTTTCATTTTTGTGAATGCTGGGAATTTATTGTATATAAAAACGAAAATGCATGTGCAAGATAATCTTTTTAATTATCCATGTAAGAGGTTGTTTGACAGTTGTTGAATGGTATGGTGTAAAATGATTAAGTGGTTAAAATGATTAAGAGTATCTCATGGTATAATGCAAAATGAAATATAATTGTTTGATAATTATTTACAATGAAATTAGGGCGCTGAATGGTTAAGAGAAACTCAGGATACAAAATCATTCAGAAGATTTTACAACAATTAAGAGGCAGAATTTTTTTTTTTTTGCCAAAAAAGGTTCATCTCTTAACGATTTATAAATTGCCTCTTAATAGAACTATTAAGATGTAAACAAACAACTCATAATAATTAATTTTTAAACGATTTGACTAGAAATTAGGATTTTTTTCCATTATAAAGTTATGTGACTTGCACGTAATGTTCAAAATCAGCCAGAAACCTGAAGACCAATCCAGGCTTAGTTAAGAAAAGTTTGATTAAAGGAGGACCGGCTATAATTGCTAGTACAAAACCAACTAAAGGATTGTCCTGGGTTTTTTTTTTTTTTTTTTTTAAGTTGATATAAATTATCAATATCTATATTATATTATAAAACATTTCACAAAAACTTTTAAAAATTATTTTTTATGCATAAAATACTATTTATTGATACAAATTACTTAAATTCAATATTACAAATAATTTTGTATAAGTACAACTTCTTAAAACTTTGTTTTTAAATTTGTATAACTAACCGCAGATAAACATAATTAAATACATGATAAACATCCATTTTAAATATAGAAAAAATAAAATATTATCAAGATAATCATTGAGTTATAACATAATGTTTAATTATTATTTTTATAAGAAATTATACTATTAAACAAAAAATAAATTACTTTGTTATTAAATCTAAATTAAATAATAATAAAAATTGACTTAAATAAATTACATAAAAGAACGAGAACTATTAAGGGACCGTTTACTAAACACTTATCCGGGTAAGCGCTTACCAAGTCACATTACCTCACCGGATGAATATGGTAAGGACCAAGAATCTTACCCGGTAAGAGCGAGACAAAGATCATGAGTCTTACCCGGTAAGTGAGGGCGACGATTCTTACCACGGTAAGCGTTTAGCAGGTAAAATATTGCATACAATGTCGTTTTGGTGGACTAAAATTTTATTCGGTAAATAAATAATAGTGTTGAAGTTTATCGGTAAGCACTTACTAGGTAAATTGTTGCATACAATGTCGTGTTGGTGGACTAAAATCTTACCTGATAAGTAAATAATAATGTTAAAGTTTACCGGTAAGCACTTACCGAATAAGTGTTTTGGTAAGCGACCCCTAAATAGTTAATTTGATACTAATATCGATTTTTTTTTCTTCAAATTTTTATGTTATCTTCAAATTTATATTTCATTCAAAAATAAAACCATTATCGTTTTCTCAAACCCACATAAAATCATATTATATCGATAGAGACAAAGAAAAACACTAAAATCGAGATTTATCTCGCTACATTGCACAAGTATCTTTCTTGATATTAATATATATATATATATATATATATATATAATGACCTTATTTTGTGCTGTGTATGGTTATAGTTCGTTTGAAACATATATATATATATATATATATATATATATAATGACCTTATTTTGTGCTGTGTATGGTTATAGTTCGTTTGAAACAAATGTAGGTTCTGGTTTCTTTTGTGAGGTCGATCATGAATTGGTTTATTACTCTATGAAATGGTTCCTGACACTCCTATTGCTACAAGTATAATATTGCAATTAAAGTTGCATCTTTTTTAAAATAATTAAAACCATACACAAGAATTATCAGTGGACAAATTTGAACAATGCTTTCAATTTCCAAATGTGAATTTTGTTAAATGAAGAGTTTGACACAATAACACACATATACAAAAACATTTAAGTTTTTTTTATTTACTTATGCCCAATTGGGATTTTGACGTAGGGGTGTTCATGGGTTAGGTTGATCGGGTTGAAAACATTTGAACAACTCAATCTAATGTTTGTAGTTTGAAAATTTTTAACCCAAATCGAATCAAAGTGCAACCCAACCCAATCCAAACCATACGGGTTGGTTGAGTTGATACTTTGGTACATTAAAATATTCTTATAACCTTGAATATGTTATTTTTCTACTCATAATTTCTTTTTCATCATCAATCATTTTATACAGATTATTCATACTTCTTACGTATATCACATTCAGTTAATTTTCTCAATTTACATATATATGTTCAGAATTACTGAACATATATACGAATGAGTTATATAGAGATGTGAATAAATTAAAAATATGTGAATATGAAGAGCATGTGTGATAATGTAATAAATTCAATGATCATATTAAATCCAATAAATAAAAGGATATCGGGTTCATCGGCTTGAGTTGGGTTCAAATAATAGTAATTCAATATCAACCCAATCCCTACGGTTTGAAAATTGTACAACTCGATTAGACATTGAGTTGCTTTGGGTTGAGTTATTTCGCGTTGAGTTGAGTTGGATTGATCGAGTTGTTGAGCACCCCTATTTTGACAAGGGCATAAGAATTGGCTATGACAGAGATTTCTCATTTGATTATAACTTCCAATCCAGTTAAGAAACAAGTTAAAGGACTAAAACTTATAAATTAAAGACCGTTACAACCCATTTGGGCAAAAACACTAGATCATGATTTTACGTAGAGTTATTTGTTGATGCCACATATATAAGAGGTCAAAGAGACATGAAAATCCTAGTAGACTCAAGTGGGTGTTTACTTAAGACTTAACGAGTTTAACGAGTTGAATAACTTATTTGCGCAATTAAAACAGGGTGTTTACACAGTTGTTGACTTATTCGCATAGATGAAAACGATACGTTGTCCACGTTCAACCCCAAAAAAGACACGCCTACCCCTTTCTCCTTCACTATGTTCATTCGACCATTCAAACACGTCAAAATCTGGAGAAAAAAAAAATCAACCTTAGCCACTCCACATTTTCCCTTCACTCTGCTAGTCGATTTCAACCCAAGCAACGATTTCCTTCACTTGGTTACTCCATATCTGGTCCATTTATGATTGGTCGATGTCTTTTGCTTGTTCGATTTCTTCTCCATAGCTGCTCCATTTATGCTTGGTCGATATCTTCTGCTCGTTCGATTTCTTCTACTCGTTTGATCTTTTCATCTTCTCCCCTTATATATATATATATATATATATATATATATATATATTTTTTTTTTTGATTTCTTCTACTTGTTCAATCTATTCGTCTCTTTTTTCGATTTCTTCTCCATAGCCGCTCGGTTTGCTACTGTTTTTCCTTAGTTGAACTTGAAGTTGTAACTTAAAAAATTGAAGTTGGGTTTTTTTTAAGAAAACAATAATGATTTTATTTTTGAATAAAATATAAATTATTATAAATTTTATAAAGATAATATTTAAGTATTCTCTTATGATTCAATGATTATCCTAATTATATTTTAGATTTTTTATATTTAAAATGAAATGTTTATCTTGTATTTGATTATGTTTATCTGCAGTTAGTTATATGAATTCAGATATGAAGCTTTAATAAGTTGTATTTACGCATAATCTACTTGCAATTTTGAGTTTTAAGTAATATGCATTAATAAACAGTACTTTACGCATAAAAAATAGTTTTTAAGAGTTTTTGTCAAATGCTTTATAACATAATATAGATTGTTGGATTTAAAGATTTGAAATTGGGTTTTGATATCTTGTTGGATTTAACGATTTGAATTTGTTTTTTCTTGAGGATTTGATACATATGGATCAAGAGTGAGATTTTCATTGTTCATTAATTTGGTAATATGATTTTTTGAGGATTTGGTAGATATGGTGCATATCTTGTTGAAGTTTATCTTTTGGATGATGATAGACACACACCATGTATTTGATGAGTTGACAGACTATCCCTTAACATGTTAAATGTGAGATTTTGAACGTCTCCAAAATTTTGGAACCTAAACTTACATGTGTTTAGGGTTTTTTTATCGACCTGTGTAAAATTATAGTCGAAATTATTTAGGTTCAAACCATTAATTGTTTGGTTTTATGTTCAAATTAGTAATGGTTTAGGTTTAGTTTCAGATTGTTAATTGTCTTAGATTTAGCCCATTTTTGTTCCCAACATATATTATCTGTTATCTCGTTTATGCAATGTAATCAAAAGTTTTGGATATAACAGAGCCTCTAAAAAAATTGAACCAAACCCTGTGAATTGATGTTATATGTAAAGTTGAAGTAAACAAGGTATATTCATACTCAAGGGTAAAACAATCATTTCTATCATTCAGAACATTGATTCAGAAAAAGAAAAAAAAACGACACATTATTATCCAAACAGATACATTTATCCATACAAGACTTGATAGAAAATTTGTGATGAATTTGGTATTTGTGGATAAAAGTGTCAAACTAAATTTGAAGTGGGTGAAAACAAACATAGAGACATAATTCAGGGACGATTCTGCAATTTAATCTCGTAACGAATTTGGGAGCTTTACCGCTATAACCTCCCCTTCGCCACTCTCCTTTTAAGCCGCCACCACCCAAGCTTATATATATCACGTTCATCGCCTCCGTAGTTCGCGGGCCGATCGCTATCACGTCGACGGAAGCAAGTATTTGAACTTATCTCTCTCATTCGTCCCCCTCCCCTACGTTTTGGAATAGGATCAGAGATTGGATATTCAAACAAGAATGGAGTTTTGATTGGTTTCTGTTGATTATTTTTGCTTTGAATTTTGCTTTTTTCTATTAGCAGAAATCGATTGAAGTCGTTTTTGGATAGTGATGGATAAGAAGAATGACAATGGCGATCCAAAACCCCAGAGAAAGGTCTGTACTTTTACTACTTTTTTAGAACTTAGTATGTGATTGCTTTTTATTGGAATGCTTATGAATTTGGATGTCAAACCTTGACCTAACGATCACATGATTGAAAATTGGTTGATTTTCAGATGAAGTTTATGCCGAAAAAGCCTCCTCGCAGAGAGCAAAAGCTAGTTTTACCTAAACCGTGAGTATTGATTTTATACCTGGTAAAGTTTATCTACTTTTTGTTTCATCTAGAAAAGGGCAAAGGTAAATATGTCTTATTGGTTAAGAGCACGGCTTGATCATGGTTTTTTGTTTGGTAGTGTGACATTGATGAAAGATGATTATAGTTGTAAAATGGGAATATAATTTTAAGAAGATAATATGTAAAATCTGCACATCCATTTGAGTGAGCTTTTCACCTTGCAAATAGTAAGAAAAATGCTAATTTACTTGAGCATAATATGAAGAAGATCCTAATAATCGTGTAATGAATTGTTTGTGTCCAGTGAGAAGGTCGAGGATGCTGAAACCGAGGAGGTGAAGGCACAAGAATTGTTGAAGCGCTTCAATGTATGTCCGGTCTTGAATCGAATTTCATTTAAGTTGTTTTGCTCTTATGTCTGCTTCCAATACATGAAATTGGAATTTCCAAAATTTTGCCATTCATCTCTCTGCGTTTTCTCTCTTTTGCAAATGATGGTTTAGCGATGATCCTAGTTGTTTAAGTTCCGTGTTTCTGTTCATTTGCAGGAAGCTTCCAAGAAGCCGAAATTCAAAACTGAAACCAAGCGTAACATCCCTTCTTCTTTCTCACCTTTATTACCCCCTCCATTATGGTTTTTTAGCTCTTAGGAAGGTTTTAAGCTTCTAAGAAGGCACGGACATACAATTACATGAAGTTCATTTAGATGTCATTATTTGCGTTTCCCTGAGTAGCTTTGTAGTCATTGGTGTAACCTTACTCTTGATATGCCCTACCGTCTAAAATACCGCCAACACGAATTTGCTCTTGAAATTCCCCACAACTTTCTTAATCAGAGGGGTGTATTAGCTCTTTTTGTTTACCAAAACATGCTTTCTAGTGTCTTCATAGTTAAGAACCATATGCATGTGTGCATACATAACAACTGGTATGAACCCTGAAAAGATTATGCAAGAAAAGGATACCATATTGGCATATTCTGATTTTATGAACTTGTTTGCATGATTAAAATCTTCATATTGCCGATGCAAGTATGCATTTCCTGAAATGGGCTATGCTTAACAAGAGGAAGTTTATGTATTGTGTCATTTTTTTATACACATTATGAACATGTTAGACGGGGTAATTTAGGTGTCAGTCTCCGTTCTGCTTGGGCAAATTCTTGATCAGGTTTTAGCATTTAGGACAGCCTTTGAGTATTTATGCCTAAAATATTAGTCCCATCCACGTTTCTTTTATATATATATATAGGATCAGGTTCAACGGAAAACCGCAAAAAATGAAAATTTGAGGAACACCTTAATAACCATTCATATGAACGGTATGCAATATGCATACAAGTAATTAAAGATATTTCTTGGTTTTTATGCACATGTGCATATAACGTATTGATGAATGCTTATAAGGGTGTTCCAAGTCTTTTTTTTGTTTTTTTTGGGGTTTCCTCCGAACCTCCCTCTCTCTCTCACTCTATATATATATATATATATACATATTTAACTTTGCGTAGAATGGAATTTCCATGATTGGAGGTCCCGAGAGGTCATGCACTAGTGAGTAGTGTCTGCACCTTTATGTACCTGGTCATATACCTGGGCCTTTGTATTAAGCAACTGGTTGTTGGTTAACACTCTCTCTACCTTCATATGATGCATTAATGTATAAATGACTATTCATGATCTGTCCTCATATAGAGTTCTAATATAACCTCTCCATGTACCATAATTACAGCTTCAAAGACACGTGTTTCATCATTTAGTTTTGGTTCCACTCCCAAGTCTGGAGGTATCTATTTCATCCTTCTATCTACCATGCTAACAGTTAACCTAACTGCCAGTGGATGCACACAATTTGTACTTTTATCTTCATTGAACATGTACTTATCCAGGTGATGCTGCTGCAACCCCAGGCATAACAATGAAGGAATACAAGGAGCCATGGGTAGGTGAAAAACAACCCAACTTTCAGCCTTTTAATTTGCATTATTACAAATTGTTTGGAAGTTGTTTTCTATTTAGCATCTCCATGCTTCATGTTTTTTTTGTTCTTACTGAACTTTTACTTCAGGATTACTACAAGAACTACCCTGTTACTCTACCTGTAAGGATGCCATACTCAGGAAATCCAGGTATGTTTTAACTTTAGCTACTTTAGACCATGTTTGACAACCATAAGCTGCCTTATTTTTTGAACTTATTAAAAAGCCATGTTTGGTTGGCCATAACTAGCATTTTGAAATGCTACACGAAGTAGCGTTTCAATAAGCTCTAGGGGATTTTTTCCATTGTTATCTAGCTTATTGGCTAGTTTTTATGGCTAGTTTTTACACTAGTATATTAACTAGCTTATTAGTTAACAGCTAGTTTATCTGTCAACAACTAGCTTTTCATCTAATAGCTAGCTTATTAGGCAACAACGAGCATATTTTGCCAAACGTAGCCAATAACTAGCTTTTCAGCTAATAGCTAGCTTAACACAATTTAATGAACACAACTACACAGTTCTTAGTTATGGTAGGGTTCCTCTTTATTGCACTTTCTTACTGAGTTATTTAACTTGTAATTTGTTATCTTTTCTTGTAATACTTGTAGAGCTTCTAGATGAGCAAGAATTTAAGGTGGATTCAGAAACCAATGCTTACGATGAGTCCTCTGTAAAGGCAGCTGAAGAACTTGGCTTAATGGTTGGTTACTTTAGCTTTTGAACTTGATTTCTCTCAAATTTATGTTGCAAGTTTATGGGTTCTTGATACCTGGATAACAGGATTTGGGAATTCTAAAAAATTGAGGATGCAAGAGTTTTTTATATGTGTATATATATATACAGTTCTACACAAATCTAAAACCAAACCAATAAAAGATAAAAATTACTTCATGAGCGGAAAAGATCAAAAGAGAAACATAAATAATTTGAGAACTGGTTCTCACAATATACTTTATGAATTTTTAGTGAGCATATCCGTCAATGCTTATATACTTTATACATAGTAGATATGTATTGATGAATATACTCACTAACATAATACATATTTTGATAGTTTATTTGCATCAATGCGTAAACTGGTTCTCACGATTCTCAAAGTATTAATGATTCTCATTTGAACCGTCCCCCACATCATAATTCATACGTTAAATATGAAGATATAATGCATGCTAAGAGGGAGGTTCAAGGGAAAACTCCAAAAAAAAAATGAAAAACTGAAGAACACCCTGGTAATAATTCATTTGGACGGTATGCACATATGCGTATAACTAACTGAAGTTGTTTCTTGGTTTTTATGCACATGGGCATACCAGACAAATTGCTTATAAATTACTTATATGCATATGTGCATAGCGTTTAGATGAGTGGGTTAGCAGAGTGTTTCTAAGTTTTTCATTTTTTGGGGTTTTCCCATGAACCTCACCGTATATCCTAAAATTTAAGTTGATTCCGTTGTCAGGAGGAAGACTTGGAAAAGAAATTGATTTTCATTCAACTGCCAACGTCGATGCCTCTACCAAAGCAAGCTGCAAAGACAGAGGGTGGCGAGGCAGCTACGAGCTCAAAGCCATCGAAACCTACAGGACCCGGTCCAAAAGCTTGCAGTTTGAAAGAACTTCCTTCGGGATTTATGGGTAAAATGCTGGTGTATAAGAGCGGTGCTGTAAAACTGAAATTAGGTGATCATCTATACAACGTAAGTATTCATTCTTGCTACTTTGACGTCAAGTAAACCGCTTATGCGATATTAAAATTGATTTGGTTCTTAAAATATTCAAGAAAAACTTCTTGGTGCAAACTGAATAACAAAACAATACAACTGAAAGAAATGTTGTTTTAGATTTGTAACAAAAAGATCCATCCTGATCTTCAACATGAATCTGTTGTGGTATAAGAAGGTTTTAGCCTTTTAGGTTTTAATTTGACATGGGTAGTTTAGTATTTTATCAATCTTGTCTCGATTTTTGTTCACTTATTTTGGTGGGACAAAAAGATGCATTTTTCCCACTCGGGTCCTGTTCCGTCCCATTCTAATACCGCACCAAAGTTGGGACTAACAAACTTTTGTACTGTCATGTGTCGTATAACAAATCATGTATTGTACCGTCGATTTCATTGTTTAATTTAATGAAATTGTTTGATGAAATTCTTTAATATGATGAAATTATTTCATATATATATATATATATATATATATATATATATTTGTGTCTGTAAAAATGAAATTGTTTCATGTTGATTAAATTTGTTTTCTAAAATTAATAAAATGAAGATGATAATGTCCATAATTAATGGCCTCCAGCCACAATAAAAATGACCTATCAACCCTCGTAATTAAAAAAAGTGAAAAAGAAAAAGAAAAATTATGATTGATTAGATGAGGTTTGTACGTTTGTAGAAATGGCTTGGTTTGCATTTTGTCCTCCTCTCTCTCTCTCTCTATATATATATATATATAAACCTTTTTTTTTTATTAACTTTGGGGTAAAAACAATTAAATCGGTTGCAGGTTGATGGAGGTGTAAACTGTAGCTTTGCCCAGGATGTCGTTGTCATCAATACCGACGAAAAACATTGTTGCAATGTCGGAGAACTCAATAAGCGTGCCATTATTACCCCGGATATCGATTCAGTCCTAGACAACATGGAATTCTGATGGTTTCACTTCTTTTTGCTCTAAATATTTTCTTTTACACATCGAAAATTTGATGAAGTTTTGACTTGCATACAGTCTCTGTGTATCTATATATAGATTTTCTTTTCTTCTTGTTGAGAAACATCTTCTAAAGCTTTTTAAGTTTGGTTTTTTTACCAGAAGATTGCATATTTTGACAACATAGGTAGGAATGGTGGAGGCTGATAATATACATATTCTTTCACTGTTTGATCATTTAATTTGAACAAATCTATGATATCTAATTGATATGAAAAGTTTGGTAATTGAAAAATCTTTGTGACGGAATGGCATTGCTGATTTACCGGTTAGAGTTTACTACCTGGTGATCCAAGAAGTGGTCGAATGGTCGTTCAAATTTTTTTAAGTTATTTAAATTGTTGATGTTATCTTGAAATGTTGATGCTCCAAAACATTGTGTACAATGATGCTTTCTACCATTGAACCATAGGTGTGTACGGATTTTATAAGTACGTACTGAGGTCAATGTACTTGGTAGGGTCAGAATGACAGATGTGACATCGTGCCAGTTCAGAAACAAGATCTCATTTGCATACGATGTGTTACATTATGGCAAGATTCAGTATGATTTATGCATAATGGTTTACAGACTTTTTTGTTTAGGATTATTGCATGATTTTGTACAACGGTTTTAGACAATATGTTTATGACAACATGTCGGTATCTTGGATGCCATGGTTGTTTGAAATGTTCTGATAATTTGTTTATTAGCTGGAAACCATGAATTCACTGAATCTAAAGTTATTACGGATTTGGACAAGTTGAAAGTGGTAACGGAAAGGAAAGTCTGGTGTCCAAGACTTCATTATGTTCGTATCAATACTCGCATCAAGGGGATTTTCTGTGTCTTCTATGACTTGTTTTTTGTTATTATGGGTCAGCCTTTGCTCTTCTCATCTGGTCAGTTATTGTTTCTTTATTCTTTTTTCCTTATTGGATTTCAATTTACAGAAGCTGTCATGGAGGAGTTTGAGGTGCAATTTGTCTTTATGGGTTTGTCTGATCAGTGTAATTGAGTTTTGGCGTCAGTGGTATCTGATAAAAGGGAAAAGACATTTGGGGACTTGGCTTCTGTTTATAGCTCTTTTGATTCAGTCACTGATTATGTTTCTTATTCCCAAATGGGGTTGCTATTAGAGTATACTGTTGGTTTTTTAGTTGCTTCTGAATCCTGATCATGGAAATTCTGGGTTGGGATCTGATGATGGTAATTTGCTGCTGTTTCTGGTGTCTTTTATTCTATTTTGGTGTAGATTACACTTGGGTTGGGATGGGTAGAGGTTGATTTTTCTGTTTGGATCAGAATGCTTGGATTTACAACTGGTGGCTGCTGATTGAAATGGCCCTTGATCAAATCTGTCTTATTTCTTTGGATTTTGGTATTTGGTTCTTGTTTTAAACAGCTGCTGCTGCCTTGGAAAGCTTATTCTGTTTTATTCAGATTCAGTCCAGATGAGAATGGTGAACCGGGTGTTCTTGTTCAGCTACTGGTTAGGAGCTGCTATTGATCACCATGGCTGGATGGAATGGTATTCTCATAATAGTTCAAATGATGGAAATCCCTTTTGTGTTTTATTCTTATGGCCAAATTGCTCCATCTGTTTGGTTGCTGATCTCCTTTCTACCTGTTGCTATAGGTCCTTTATTTAACAGCTATGAAGATAAAGGGATTGAGACTTGGGAGCTTTTCAATTAAGGCACAAGATGGTTAAGAGGGGGATGGTGGAGTTGGATCACTGAACATTATTCCTTGGGCTCCAAATATTTTAGTATTTTTGGGCCTTTTTCCGGTGGAGATGTGTCTGCAAATTTGGTCTATGCGACCTTGTTTGGCGACCTGGGCACTTGGTCACGTCGCACAGCCCAGCTTGGTTTCCTGATGGTTGGGCTGAAAATAGCCAAAATTAATTTGGTTATTGGGCTAAATTTAATGTTAATAATTTAATATTAATTAATAACGTACAGATGAAATTTTGCTCCAGATACGATTGCGATATCCATATTGTGGGCTCGAAGACAATTGTTTGGGCTATATTGACCAGCGCCAACCCATTTAAAGATGGTCAAAATGGGTCCAGTCTGCCCCGGGATCAACGTAGGACCGGTAATAATTGATTATGGACTGGTAGTCTTGGCCCGATTATGGTATTACACAAGAATATGGCTCGGTTTGGGACCAGGACCGGTTACACCAAAGCTTGAAAACTTCAAAATATTACCCTTTTTTTATTAGAGTCGTTCCACGTTTCGGCTAGCCATATTAGAATGTTTTTAGGCTTGTCAAAGGTGTCTTTGGATTTATATTTTTTGGATATTAATCATCTTTGTAATTGGACTCTTAACTCTATTGTAGGTTTTAAAGGGTTGTTCGATAATAATGGGTTGTATAGCATGCATGACTTATTCGGTAAGTCATATATTGTTGTTCGGAAATGACTTAATGATTCAGAAATGGGTTCAGTCGTTCAGCCCTCCTCTTTCTATTCCTACCCTAGTGATAAAACCAAAAAAAAGCACACTCTAAATTTGTTCTCCTAAATAATGAGTCAATGCCTACTTGGATCAAAAAAATTACGATCTCCCTCGATTTTGGTTTCTCGTCGCCATCCCTTGGAAAGCCATGGTTTGCAAACCCTAGGTATATCTCCATTTTCAGCTAGTGGTGAAACTCGATGCTTCTCCCGTCAAATCTTCTCACAAAAAACGCTCTCCCCTCCATTTGTGCAAAATTGTAAGTATTAATCGAGATTAGTGTGATTCTATGTGGGTTTTGTGCTTGAAACTTTTGATGATTTTAGTCAAGATTAGCCTGAATCTATACAAGCTTTGTGTTTGAAGCCTTGATGATATATAGGAGTTTAATGGAGATTAGCCTGAATATATGTATGCTATGATCATATGGGCAATGTTGGGACGAAAATTTCATGAAATCGATCATTTCAATACATTGTTGGATGAAAAATTCAAGAGGTACATAAAAAATTAATACACTCCAAGGATTGATCTAGATTGAGGAGTAGAATAATCATTTTGGTCATTCAAACTGATTATTCAACAACACATCCGAACAAGAATTTAGCATATACCATACAGACAACTTAACCCATATACCTAGTCTTGGGTATAAAAAAAGATTTAAACATCATTTTTTGAGATTGAACACCTTCCGATGAACACATTATTTATCAAATATATTTAAGATTGTAATGGCAGGTGTATTGGGGCAACAAGCTTGTTATAGTATGCCATATTCATGAAGTTATTAGGTACCACTAGAGATGCATAAGTCCCGGGTTTTTTCGAGCCTCGACGATCGAGTCGATTCTATGATTATAAGTTCATTCCATACTGGACCAGATCGGAATAGGGTTATATACATTTTCATTGTGAGAAGGGGGCATTTGAACCTGAGCCTACCAAGCTAGTTTTTAGTGACAAAATAAGCCCATGCTAGCCAGCCCGGGCTTTGGGATTGAAAAGGGGCCCGACCCGGGCCTGCCCCCAAAATTGCAGCACGATCGTGCCTGAGATCTGGCCTGGACTGGGCTTCGGGCTCACTAGGTCTGGGCTTTTTCATGTAGCTTAACCAATAAACCCATCGATCTCTTGTAAATCACCAACTACACCAAAATGTTTGATGACACTAAAATCACCAACTACACCAAAATGTTTGATGACACTAAAATCACCAACNAAATCACCAACTACACCAAAATGTTTGATGACACTAAAATCACCAACTACACCAAAATGTTTGATGACACTAAAATCACCAACATAGTTATGATGCCCTAACAAATATTTGATCCTATTAGTTCGGTTTTTTTGTTCTTATGTTGGAGATTACAAAGGTACAAGTCCTTGTCGTGGAGCTATCTTAACTGTAACTTGCCTCTTTGTTTTGAGCTGGCGTTTAGATACGTTTTTCTCATCTGAGTACTCGAGGATGCCTCACTTTTTAATAGATCATACAATCAACTTCAATATTTAAGTGAAAGCTGTATTAAAACATTGTTTCTTAAAGTTCAATTGCATAATCAAACCCCTATGCAATTGAAAAGTGAAGCATTATCTTCACCTAAACAAGATCTATTGCAATGCAATAGGCATAATTAAGATTAAAATCACTCGTCTTCATCTTCACAAGCGAATTGCAGTCCCAGAATAATACATTGATGGTCTACCGCAAGAGCATTTCATAATATAAGGATTATTCAACGAAGGATTAAGCATAATGCAACATGTAACTGAAAAAAAACTAAAGAACCTGGAGAAACATCGATTAGAGGTTAGCCGCCTGCGGAGGAGGAATCACGTAATCAACAACCACCACGCTCTCTATTGAATCCTTCACTTTCTCTTTCTGCAAGTTCACCAGCTCCGCATTTGAATCCAACGCCTCCAAATCGGCCGGCCCAGGCAATACAGCAATTGAAGCGATCGTATACCCCTTCGCCCTATCATGAGAGAAATTCTCACCAAAACTTAGCTGTTCAATCGCTTGAAACTGATTTTTAATTCCTCCAATCACTTCCAAAACCCTAGCTTTCTCATTTTCCCCCAAATTCTCCTTTAACTTCAAAAATGAAACTCTCATTGCCGACCCTGGCTTCGGCGAGACACTAGCGTCGTTAGATATCCAATCAACGGCCATGAGATCATCAACGATCGGTTTTACATTCTCCGTGACCACTTTCACGTGCTGAGGATGAACGCCATAGTCCCGCAGATCGTCCTTTGACCTGTAACGACTGTGAAGCATGTGAGTGAAGGTGAGCGACGACGACCGAGACCGGAGAAGTTTTCCAGCAGTGATGTGGACGGTGAGATCGAGTGAGCTCAGACCGTTGAGTCCATTAACCATAGCCGCCACTTCACTAGATTCAACATCTGGTTTCACTTTGAAGAGGACCACATGTTCGACGATCTGCTCTTGTGCGGACATCGTGATCGGTTTGCAGTAGCTCCGGCGGTGGACCAGAGAGTTGAGGCGGCGGAAGAGAGGTTGCGGCGGGGATAGAGCAAACGATTGTAAGAATCGGGTGCGTGCCGGAGCACACAGCATTTTTGTGGACATAATAACTGAAATCGGAGAGGCAGAGAAAATGTGTGATAACGGTAGCTCGATCGTGACAGATATTGATGGGCCATGAGAGAAGGCCCAGGAAGAAACACAATGGATATTGGCCCAAAACATTAGACTTTGTAACGTTCTCCATAAAAGTTGCAAACAATAAAATATTTAAATCCTTAAAAAATGTATAATTAATTCTAACCATTTTTTCATTTAAAATAGGAAAAATTGCATGCAAAAATAATATACTTTAACTTGATTCTTATTTTGGTACTTAAGATGTAAAATTTTAAACATTTAAGTATCCGGATAACCGGTTGAAGCATTAACCGGTTACCATGTTGATGTGGCGAGTGATATAGTATCCAACTCAGTATTATTTGTTGACATGGATATCTTAACGGTTAATACTTCAACCAGTTACCCGGGTATTTAATTATTTAAAATTTACATTTTAGGTACCAAAATGAAAGTTTTTAAAATACGTTACCCAAAATAGTAATCAAATTAAATTATGTTACTTTTTTCATGCAATTTGCGCTTTAAAATATTAATGACATTAATTATATAATTAAAATATTATTTAGCATTTGATTTTAAGGTTTATATGAATATAGTTTAAAATATATATTTCTTTATGATAATCATTTTTATATAATTCTCTAAATTTGGAGATTTTCACATACCCTTTTCCTCCTACTTTTTTTCATTTCCAATATCTAATGGAGTAAAAAATGTACTAAAAGTCCCACAATCTTTATCTTTTTATTTTAAAATTTTTGTTGGAGATAAATGTTATTATTTTTATAGATTTCGACTTTTGGAATCTATTTTAGCAAATATGTTGAAGATGCTCTAAGTATTGTAGATATTAGCACAATTTGCTTGATAAATTTTTTGGACTAAACCACAAGGGTGGAACTTGATTGGTTTGAGCTTGACTCCAAAGGTCAAAAGTACCAGGAGGTCCCGGGTTTTCAAATCCAAAAAGGAATAAAAATCTCCTTGTGGCCACGAAGGTTCAAATACGGTGACTCTGAGCTATCTGCAAAGCAGGTGGTCGCCCTGGAATTAGTTGGCTCGTATAGCGGGTTGGATATCCAGGTTAATCAAAAAAAGAAAATTGGACTACTTAAACAAATAAATAAATATAGTTTCCCAATTAATATTTTAGTTGAAATTTGTCGGATACAATAATACACACACACACACACACACATATATTGGCGAAAGTTTGTATGAGAAAAATAGTTAATATGAGAAGCGTATGAAGAGATCTGAACGTTTGATCACTTTTAATCTCATGTCCACCCAATAATTACGCTTTAGAAGGGAATTAATCTCGATGTGCACCTCATTAGTGTTGATATTCGAATAAGATTTATCCAAAGATAGATACGCTTCTTACTGAAACCCAACCTTATATATAGATTAGATAATAACAATTGACGTATTTCAAAATTCTTAGATTTTTCTAAAACAAACATTTAACAAGTTGTTTAATCATGATATCGTTTTGTCAAGTTGCATAGATATATATGTTGATAAATTTGTCGAATCAAATAATATATATATATATATATATATATATTATTTTAACAAATAACATATTCCAAAATTGTAATGTTCGTTAGATTATTGAAAATAAACATTTGTCAAGTTGGTATATCGTGTATATCTTCTTGTCAAGTTGTACACGAAAAAGACACACCAAACACTTTGTCTATAGTTGTTGGACAATTTAATCTGGATCATGTAAAATATTATTAGGAATTATTGTTCTTTTTCTATGAAATTATATTTAGATTAAACTGTTTGTGTAATAAAACTCTACTTATCTGGTTAAAGATTGACTTTTATCTGTTTTATGTGTTGAACGACAAAGATAAGAATTTTACCTTCCAATCTAGCTGACAAAAATAAATTATAAATGACACGATGATATACATTGTAAGGGGGTGTTTGGGATTGCTTATAAAAACAACTTATTGACTTATTTTGGTATGACACCGGTAATAAACACTTTTAAGTGTTTGGATAAACAACTTATACCGGTGCCAAACCGGTAATAAGGAGATTTTGAAGAAGTTAAACCATTCTAACTTATAATAATTTGATAAGAAATTTTGTAGAAAAACATAAGTTGTTTCAAATAAACAATCCCAAACACCCCCTGACTATCATACAATAGTAATTTAAAGAAATGGGGAATATGAAATAACCATAGCGGATACATTTGGCATATCTTAACCAAACCCTTCGCATGGGCTCGACGCGCACTTGTATGGTCTGGAGATGATAAAATCCATGGGCGATCCAGTTGGCGTTATTCGTTAATACTAACTTAAATATATCATTAAACATAACTTGGTACAATAGTTATTTAAATTTCACCAAAAAGTATGATAATAGTACTTGAATTCCTACATGTCCCAAACCTTAAGATCATTACTACACTTAGGTGGCGTTTGTTTTTTAAGAGGTGCTGAAGTCTGAAGTCTGAAATCTGAATCAATCAGACTGTTTGTTTTTTGCGTCTGAAATCTGAATTTTGAAGATGAGAGATCGAGAGTTGATATAGATCGACAGTTGACAAAGTTGAGAGATGAGAGATCGAGACAGAAGAGCTGATCTAGAGAAATCGAGCGCAAAGAGATTAGAGTAGGTAGGCGACGATTTGAAATAAGAGGTAATAAGAAATTTCACAACCACTTAAATTTTCAGAACTAATAAGAGCTTTTAAGCTCTTAATTGAAAGAAAAAAAAAACGCACTGAATCTTCTTATGTCTGACCGATTCAGACTTAAGAGGACATTAAAAGCTTTTTTATTAAAAATAAACAGCCCCTTAGCTATATAGCAAGGCTTGTTCTAGTTGTAATGATATTCAAGGTACTATAAGGTTGAACAGGGCCCCGAAATTTTGGGACCCAAATTTACATGTGTTTAGGTCTTTTTATCGACCTGTGTAAAACTATAGCCGAAATTATTTATGTTCAAACTATTAATTGTTTGGTTTTAGATTCAAATTATTGATGGTTTAAGTTTAGTTTCAGATTGTTAGTCATTTTAGGTTTAGCCCATTTTTGTTTTTAACATATATATTCTCTGTTATCTTATTTATTCAATGTAATCAAAAGTTTTGGATGTTATATTTTTTAACATTCACGACATGATTCACCATTTTTTTTTTCAATTTTGTGTTAATCTGCGACTTCTATCTTCTGCCTTAAGTTACTTTCAAGTCTCAATGATTTAGTTTGAAGTTTTTCTTTTTACCTTTTAGACTATTTCTAACTTATATAATATGTTTTTGGAAATCGGATACCAGATAGTCGTCGCTGATACCTGATTTTCTAGTAGTGTGAAACTTTATATATTTTTAGATAACACTCACATTATCATTGAGTTTACAGTATTGAATTGTAGACGTAAAGTGCATAGGTACAAACCACACCATGAAGTTTTTTGTGTGTGTGTGTGTGTGTGTGTTTTGCGGTGTACGGGTGCGGTTTGAGAAAATGCTCAAACCTCAATGGCAACACCCCTACTTATATTTAGTCCCTCATATCAGTTGCCAATAGTTTTGGTCTCTCTATCTAACGGTCGTTAACTTTCTTGTTCATTAATTTTAATTTATAAAACAAAGAACATAAAAGAAAACGAAAAGGTGATTGTTATCATTTTTCTTTTCTTTTGTGTTTTACAATTTAAAATAACGCATGCTTTTAAAATTTAATATAAAATTAAAAAAATAGGGGAATTGACTCAAATACCCTTCATTTAACTGAACTTAACGGAAAAAGTTAATGACTATTAGGTGGTGTTCGGTAGGGGTACAAAAAACAGTTAACCTGCAAAACCCGTCCAACTCAACTTGCTAATACCCAATTAAACCCAATCCGTCAACCCGCCAATTCAGAGCTTTGAAATTGGTTAACGTAACTCAATGAAACTCAACCCAACAACCCGCCACTAATGTATATTGTTTTGATAAATATATATATATATATATATATATATATATAGGGGAGCGATCAAATGCAAACCACTCAATTTGTACAAACCGTGCAAACCKYATTCAACYAMTCATAWWTTTTCATTTTGTTCATTTTTTTTGTAATTATGAGAGGTTGATTAATCATTTTTATTGTGAAGGGTGTTAATCATAGATATTATCATCTTCATTATTTTAATT